TTTCATTGCCATTTTCTTCAGGAAATGGTAATGAATACAGTGGGAGAAATGATCCACCATGAACATCTCTTGTTTGGAACGAGTTGCACAGGGACCCGGAACAGTCTTTTTGAGCTAGATTCTATGATAACTACCATTCAGGTTATGTACCATGGTGATCTGGCCTACATTTACCCAATGTATATTCTTGAAAACCCATCAAGTCAACGTATTGTCTCATCAGTGTAAGAGGTATTTACAAGTGACAAGTTTGCATGTTCTTCTTGTTCAGAGACTTGATTTCAAGTACTTGGTCAGCACATGGAACCGAATGAAGAAGCCTCACCGGAATTTAAGACCCTATGATTGCTTCTGAAATCAAATGCAACTGTAATTTAATCTTTTGGTACCATCACATTGTATATTCTTTCAAAGGTCTTAAGGTCTTTTTAAAAAAAGCTGCAGGTTTTTACAAGTATTTTTCAGAGAAAGCAGAGATCAGTTAACAAATCCGTTTGTTTTCATCAACTGTCCTCTTCTGAAGAGTAGCCTTCCCATTTTGGCATAGCATCTTTCATAGCAACCAGCACTGCAGAAATCCACCTTCCGTAATTTAGTGAGAAGTCTTTGGGCATCTTTCGGTAGACTTCTGAGATGGCAGATCAGAAGTCCTCAGTAATGAGCTGACTACAGCAGAACCTGTTTTTCCTCTTCACAGTTGGTGCCCATACTGGTTATGGGTGAAGACAGGAAGCAAGGGAACTGCATGGAAGAAATTTATTAAGATTTCATTTTTTCCTGTTAATTAACCAACATGCACTTCAGAGTTGCAGAGATCTTTAGAAATAGGTCCTTGTGTTTTTTAACTGCAAAATTCCTAACATTTGTAGATGGCCTGCCTCCAAATGTGAAGAATTTATTGTATAAAAAACTAAATGACAGTTTGCATCCAGGAGGAAGCTCTAAGTAGTACTTGAGGCAGCTGACAGTCCTGAGTTCCCAGGTTCCACTTACTTAGTGGAAGGTCAGTTCACAAACCAGGATTTTTCTTTCTAGGGAGAGTTTTATTCCATCTAGAATGGACTGAGATCATTATCAGCAGGTTTTTTTATCTAGGTTGTGGCTTCTTGAGGAAATACGTGATAAGAAAGAGCAGTAGTTCACAGGAATAAGCGTTTGTAATGATGCAACGATTTCACTGTTTAGGAAATAATTTATTCTTAGTTCAAAACGCTTCCAGTACTGTATTCTTCCCTTCTGGTTTATGAAAGCACACAGGTAAAACATGCTGGTGCATTAATTACAGGTTTATATGGAAATCATCTTTCCCTGCCTATGTGATTGGCTAGTCCTGTAAATATTTTTAACATATAAAAGAAGCATTTCACTGCCTTCTCAAACTGCTACTAATCTTTCCCAAGAGTTAACTAAAGAAATCTACCTTAATTCCAATTCAAAGAGTGCAATTAGGCCATAAAGACCTTTCTGAGTCTAGTTCAAGACAGTTATGAGGAAGTTTGCCAGGATACCTCAGATTTAATTGAACCTAAATGCTTCGGTGAAAACATACATCCTATTTCATACACTTACATAAAACTTCATGACAGAATACACATCACATGAATGCAGGATAGATTAAATTGATACATCCTTTTAACATGTATCACTTGGACATCCTACCATTTCCTTCCTGAAGTGAAAGAAAAAGCTCAGAAATGTGCATCAGTCACACCTCCTTTTCCTTTCAGGCTGTCAGACAGACATGTATTGGAATGAGTTTTGCATACGAATCAGCTATGGGGTCATAGGATAGGTAGCAAAATTTTTTACTGTGCCTGAACTCTTGGCACTCCTGCAGTGTCAGATGGTGTTTTCATTTTCTTTGTGCTGCCACCAGTGAGCATAAAGGCAGGGCTATCTCCTCTATCCCAGTTTAATTCCATCTCTGCCGTGCGATCTCATGCATATGGGACTTGGGAGGAGAGGAAGGGAGGGTCACGGAGATATTTGGGTAAGTAATACATCTTGAAGAATCCAGTTACTGTACGGGTAAGTAATATTTATTTGTTTTCTTTTTGAATATTCTTCTGTATAATCTTCGTGAAAGGAGACTGCCACTGCTTATCATTCTGTGATTTTGTCAAAATACAGGAAGATAAATTTACCCTCGGTGTCATTCACATTCTAATATATATATATAAAAAGCAACTCAAGTTGTACTCTAGTCCACTGCTTCAGACGATCAGCTACTACAGGAAAAAAAAAGTCATAACTGTAGTTATAATTAACAGAAGTTTTTCTCCAGAGTTTAAAGCTAATTTATCACAGTAACGATAGAACACTTCATGTGACTAAAAAGAGGAAAACAGCAGTATGGGTTGAAGGTCAGCGTGAGTCTGTCATGTTTTCAGAGTGAGAGCCAAACAACTGGAAAAACATGCCAGTATGTTAAAAGACACATGCTGGTGCGCTTTTATTTACTTTTTCTCTAATTAGTACGTTTTGTTTGAAACAGCAGTTTGTATTTTAAAGAAGAACAATTCACATGCTAATCAATTAGTCATGAATCAGAAAGTTGGACACAAAGCAATTATTTAAAAGAGTAGTCTTGAGACTGTTCTGCCCTAGTGGAGGTGCTATCTGGCTAAGCAAAAATCTCCTGCTCCTGACAGGCATTGGTGTGGTTTTGTAAGGTGGTTACACACATTGTGACACCGTTACAAGAGTGAACTTGCACATCTTTTAACTAGGTTTGTCTGAGACAAAGTGAAAGCTTTTATCTGATCTCTCCTTACTGGGTGGGTTGTTATTATTAGACTAAAGTTAAACGATTGTTATTTCTAGGCAGTTGGTTGTAGTCAACACTGGAGTATTTTGACTTGAAACCATGTACCATACATGTTTAAGTTTGTGTATTATTTAGGGAAAGTAATTCTATATGAATATAGATTTTTTTTTTCAAGTGAATTTAATGTGTCACTCTCTTGATCAGTATTGTTACCACCAATTGCTCTTCTGTCTCTCAAGAGTTCACCTGTCTGAATTGAGTACTATATGGTATAAAGGTTAATACAATGTCAAATTCACCTCTTACCTTATATGTTAAAATGTTTTATTCTGCATTCTTATTTTAAAGCACATTCCATTTTACATGTAACTGTTCAAATGAACCATTCCCACTTGTGTGGTTTGAAATGGAGAGCTACACTTCCACACTTGGCTATCTGTCAATAATGTATCAAGAAGCACAGTCAATATTTATTGTGTAATGCAGATAAGCAAGTAAATATTCATGTCTGGCACAGTAAATATTCTGAGGTTTTTTGTAAACTTGTTATTCATCTTTTGTTGTGGAAGATATTCTCAGTGTTTCAGAAAGATTCAGATAGTGCTTAAACATGTTCTGCAACTCCTGTTTTTGAAATGTAGATCTTAGTTTGTTTCTTTAGAAATCAGCAATTACTTCCCCTGTGAAGCCGCTTTGGAAAGTAACCATCAACATGCCTGCAAAGCCTAACAAACACTGTCGCCTGTGCTAGTGGTTGAATACTAGCCTTTCTCTGCACAAAGGCAGTGGTGCCAGAGGTCTTGCACTGGTCTGATATAGAGCTTTGCATCTCTGCTGGAATACTCTTGTTGAAAGTGGCAGTCTTAAGACTGCCAGAAATGGTGTTCCTATAACAAGTATCCTTGGCGATATATCCTAAGTCCTTGAAAGCAGGAATTAAGGAGTAAGTCAGGTTCGTTCTTTAAACTCCAATGACTAATTCTTGCATTATGAAGGTTGCAAGGTCAAATTTTTTTCCAAGTCAGTCATCTTTTTCCTTATTCTTTATATGGTGTGAAACACTTTCAGAGAAACAGTGGAAAATTTCAGTCCTAAATACAAAAGGTCAGAAGACAAAGAGGTAAATCTGACAAAAAGCAAAATGCAAGAAACAAAGAGAAACGTTATTTATTCTTCCACTACTGCTGAGATGGCTAAAAAGCCCATGTGTTAACTTAAACAGGCATTAATATCTCATCTGAATCCTATGATCTAAACCAATCTGCAAGTCAAGAAATGCAGAAATCTTCCATCAAGCTGCTCATTTCTGATAGATTCGTTAAGTAGCCGTGGTCCAAGACATTCATATATACCTGTCAGGACAGCCTGCTTTGCAGTATTTTGTTCAAGCTGTTACAGCAGAAGCAGGAGATACACATTTATTTTCCTAGCAGTATTAAAGTAAGGAGGGTCTTCTTTACAAGTAACAATACTATTAGTTTTGTATATATTTTTTCTAAGGTACACTGTTTATATAAACCAGTAAATCAGTATGTTTTCTTAGAAGCAATACAGTTTTCTTCCAAGGTCTTTGAATATATGTGGGACATCTGAACTTGCAACTATGAAGATGCTCTTAATCAAAGAATAAATTTTAAGTGAGTCTTGTTACTTGAATGTCTGAGATTCAGACAGTCCAGATGAACCCTTCATAATTCCTAGAGAATTTTTGATTAAAAACTTCCGTAAAGACTTAATCTGAACAGTGGAAAAATCTGTTGGGTTAATGTTTACCTTTCTTCCCCTGAACCTGGAAATGACAAATTCCAAACTTGCAGTGCAATGTTTCCCTTCTTACCATGCCTGCTGATGAATGTGTGAACAAATGGGCAATGCCTGCTATGTTCCCATGAATTCTGGCTTCTGTGCTTCTTTGGAACTGCTTACTAATCTTTATTTACCAACAACCTTTGCTTACTTATGCCGTATAATCTGAAAGGACTGTGGTATGTCCAACACGGAAGGCAAACACTTTTTCTTTCAGGTCCTGCTTTGCTAGATTTCTGCTTCTCTTTACTGTAATCTTCCTCCTACTCTTGCATCACCTCATCTTTCTCTCCTCTGTGTGAAGATAATTTGCCTGCAGTTGCACCTTGGGAGGGAGAAACGCATTTTGGTTGGCGTAAAACATGGTTGATTAAAAGGCTGTCATTCCAAACAAGCCATCTTCACCTAGTCTCCCGTCATTTTCCAGGACAATCTACGTAAAAAGGATGATCGGATTGAAGAATTGGAAGAGGCACTCAGAGAAAGTGTTCAGATAACTGCAGAGCGGGAAATGGTGCTAGCACAAGAGGAGTCAGCCAGGATGAATGCTGAGAAACAGGTCTGCAATCTTATAAAGTCACTGGTAGTCTTCCTAGGAAAGTAACCAGACAGTAAAGTACAATTTCCCTACTTTACCGTGAAACACAGATGGTTTTGTTTGATGATCCTGTATCACCGTTCCAACATTAGGTAACAACTCAAAAAGTCTGCAAAGCCTTCATGATAAGTTGTATTTCATAGGTAATGTTTTCTTGAAGTTAAAAAGAAATATAAGGTATGCTGAGATTTAAAATATTAAGTAGTATCTCTTCTGATCTGTCATACTTGTCAAGGCTATCTTCCTATGTGTAACCCTACACAGGTTTACTGTGTTGTTCATTGAAAGTGTTTTAAGACGATGATTTTTATTAGCATAGTTGGGTTTGTGAACCGTGGTCTCATTGCACTTGCAAAACAACTGGATAAAGAGACAAATCCCTTGGCTTGAGCCAAGCATACACACAGAAAATACACATTTGCGTCTTGAAGCCACAAGCATAAACTTCTATGCATTAATTGATTCTGTGCCACTGACAAGATGCTCTGAAGAATCATGTATGTGCCTGATTTTAACTCACGTAAGTAATCATTAAGAAAACATACCATAAGTAGTGAATAAAATTCGATGAGAATTTGATAAAACTTTTAAAGCAGAAGCTGAACTTAGCATTCTTACTGTGCTTTCTATGAGTTTCTTCAATGTTTTTCACTGTTCCTTACTTGACAATAATTAGCAAACGAGCATTTGGTCACTTGTGGTTGCATTGCAGTGGCATGATCTTCTCTTCGTTATTTAAATAAAAGAAGTTCTGACTAAGTGCACTTTAGAGCATTTTAAGAGGTTTTTTCCGACATATATTCTTCTATCACAGACTTTAATGAAAAAAAAGATACAAATATGTTAGTAATAATCAGAGTTTTCAGGAAGAAAGCAACTGTTTCTTTTTAGACTGGAGTCAAGCTCAGCTATTCACTGATAGTTGTTTTGAGGGTAATTCTGGTTGCTGTACCCTAAGATCCTAGACAATGTTACAGAATGTGCTTTCAAGAATGCCTTCTTTCCAGTCTTCTTGTAGCCTTTCAAAAATTGCATGAAACAGAAATGTTAACTAGGTAGTGAATACCACATCAAAAATCAGATCTCCTTGAAAGGAAAATACATAGCTCACAAGGGAGAAGTTTCTATACTGAGATGCAAAAGTAAACAACACAGTATGTGATTTGATGCCTAGGACATCATAATGTTTTAATTTCTTTGTTACAAAACAAAGTGGCCATTTCTATATTCTTTGAGCACCTAGAAGCATATAGAACTCACTCTTCTGTGAAGCCTGTGCTTCAAATGCAGAACAAGATGCATAAGGCTTCATGAATTTTTTTGGGGAAAGTTGTAAAGAAGGTAGAGTGTGTTAATTTTGTAGAGGTTAGAAGTATCTGAAGTTAGGGAAGTAAGCACAAAGATGAACATTTGCACATTCTATGCACACATAATGTGGGTCTTTACTAGAGGATGGTCATAGGTCATCTCAGTATTAAAGTGAAAAGTGAGTGAAGTACAGTTTGCAAAGGACGGGCAGCTTATATGTGATTCGTTAGCAAAGAGGCATGCTGGTAGTATTAACGTGATCAAAGCTACAGACAAGGAGATTACTGCACAAATGGGCACAACCTGCATAAGAATGATTTTTGCTTAGATCCAGAGACAGAAGAAATCCTACCAAAGAACTTTAGTAATACAGATGCAGTTAGAAAAGTCTTATATTTGAGATATTCCATTTAAAGAAATCCTGCAAGTTTTTAAAAATAAACTTTAAAGAAGTTTGAGTCAAAGATACTATCAGGATTAACAAAAATATGGAAGTTCTGTCCTAGATGGAAAAAAATGAGGTAGTGAGGAAGATTCAGTCACAGGATGGAAAGGAGAACTCTTTTTTAGCATCTTGAGCATGAGGTCCTCATAGATGTCTCCAGTGTGAGCTGTTAGCAGCAGATTTAATATGGAGAGAATAAATAAGTCTGGGTTAGTAAACAAGGGAACTGTTGTTATTGAAGTGAAGCTTTATTTAGGCATGAGGCATCCTAAAACAAGAATATGGGAAGAGAATAATGCTTTGGAAATGTAGTTTGGCAGTAAGGAGGGTTTTCAAAAGAATTCACCAGCAAAGCCTGATGAGAGGCACACAATGAGATCAAATGGTGAGAGCTTGGTGAAAAGAGAAATACGTGGTGAATGAAGAGTTGGAATTGGGTGTACAATCTGAAGATGAGTCAAGGCAAAGAAATGTGGAGTCTGAGGCTCAATAAGCCATAAGGATCAGTGAGAGAGATTGAGAGGAGAGGAAATGATCCAAAATGAGTAAGATTTGTGGGAAAAGATTGGTAGAATATGGTGAGTAACAGTGTTGCGGGGGAAAAAATAATTTGGATGTTGCAGTACAGAAGGAAGGAGGAAAAAGAAGGGTGGATTTGGAAGAGGGAAAAGTCGACACCTGTACCTTCAGTGGTTGACAGCAGTGTCTTACTTCAACAGAAGAACTAAACTGCCAGCTCTGACTAGTTACAGTGTTTAAAATATGACCAACAAGACGGCATGAAGGAAAAGCAATTGGATTGTCTTGTTCCAGTCTGGACCGGGAGAGCCGCTGTGCCCCATTTGTCCTATGGGATTTAGTTTTGCTGTAGGATAAATACAGTCAAGTAATAAAGTGCTTGCAAGTAGCTTTTTTTCCAAGGTGAGGAGGAGACTTTTCTTCAAATGTTTTTCAGTTCATATTCCTTCAATCACTTTAAAAGAATGGCCTCTTTGTTTTATTATGTTCTGTGGAGGTTCTTTGTAGAGTTGTGAAAGACACCCTTAGGTAGCTTCAGAGTTTTAAAATGCAAAGTCCTGGTTTACATATGATATTAATGGCAAATCCTTTGATTTTTTAAAATAACAGGTTAGGAACATTCCTAGACCAAGTAGGAGTGATATGTGTGATTTTTAAAATGTCGATGTTGTCCAAACTCATTATAATTTGCTTTTAATTGCATGCTTTTTCTTTCCTCTCTTCTGTTTATCTTGTTTTCTACCGTTCTGCCGCTTCTCTGCTTGTCTGAAGCTGTTTAATGAATCAGTGCATGAGGTCAACCATTTTGGCTTTAAGTGGTTCAAGGTATGAGGACATGTCATTTGTGTGTACCTCTGCCCCAGTATTTAATGTTAGTTTTGTAGCCCCGTGTTGTGTAATCGTACCCTCCAGCACGTCATGATGTATGGTTTCCTGCTATTTTACAGGCTTCATATTTGAATTACAGTGTCCATGAAGCTACTCAGGATTTCATGGTTCTCAGAGACACATTTCAGATTAAAATCTTGCTCTTTTTAATGCAGTGTTTGAAAATATCCTCGCAGCGTGTATTAACTTTGGCAGTAGGTTAACTGTGTTAATACACTATATACAACAAGATGTCTCCGGCTGACTAAAGTGTTCTTTCACTGTCCTGGTGCATCTTACCATCCCTTCTCTTGCAGTGGAAGGTAGGAGGTTATCTTCCATATCAACTTAGTCATAATCAGCACTGTTCCCAGGACAATGCTGGAAACGTGTTTCGATCTTCATGAAAGAATAAGGCCCTTTTTGTGGAATAAAGTGAAACAGAAGTTCAGGTTCATTGATTCAGTGTCAGTCAATAATTAGTGTCAGGTCCTTGGCTAAAGGAGCACAATATTAGAATTACTTGCATTTTGAGCTTCACTATTGGAGGGCATAGTTCATAAATGTATACTGACCTAAGGTACTTATGCCCTCCCTCACTTCACTCACTTTCACTCCCATATTTCAGTGCACATCCCTTCAGTTTTTTGAGACTCTGGGTTTCTGGAGCTGTGTTGTGAAAAAGACTGTTGTGATTTGAGCCCAGCCAGTAACTCAGAACCACTTGACTGCGCTCTCACTGCCCCCTTTCTTCCCTGCCTTCCTGCACGCAGGATGGAGAGGAAAATTGAAAGAATGTAAACCCCATGGGTTGAAATCAGAACAGTCCAATAACTAAAGTATAATGTTAAACTGCTACTAATAGTAATAATGACAAGGGAAATAACAAGGGGAGAGAATACAAAACTAAAAGGACAAGGGGAAAAAACCCAAACCAATAAACACAAGTGATGCACAATACAATTGCTCATCACCCGCCAACCGATACCTAGCCCAACCCAAGCATCAGTTTGCCCTTCCGGGCGACTCCCCCCACCTTATAAACGCACTGCACCAGATACTAGGAAGGAGAAAAATAACTGTTACAGCTGAACCCAAGACAGACTTAATTCATGGTAAGAATGATCTGATTTTTTGAAGGACTCTTTTCATGGGCACCAGTTTGCTGATCTGGTTGATGGATCCCCAGGCAGAACTTGAGGCACATCTGAAGGAACATTGAACTATGGGGGTAGGACTGAGAAGTGGAGGCAGGAATTGCTTAGTATTATTACTAAAAATATTTTTACCAGAAACTGTTATTGTGGCCTTTACAATAGGCTACTATTTCTATGAGTGAGATGGTGCACTGCCTGACTGTAGCATGTTTCTTTATCTTCTTTTATTTCCTTCAAATTTGAAAAGCAGTAGGTTTTAGAAATTTAAATAGTATTTCTGCTGATAGTAGCATCTCTGTTCTCTCTGTTCTCTCATGAGTATCAACTCCTGCTTCAATGCACTCTCTCTACAGTATAAGCTACCATCTAACTCCTTACCCTGTAATGTTATGGCAAATAAACACATGAAATACTGGGCATTACTTGTTCATTCCTTACTTAAATGGAAATTTGCAAGTTATCAGTCTGATCTTGACACCTTCCATCAACTTCTTTTGAAGTTACAGTTCTCAGTGGGAAATTTTAACTGAGGTTAGTATGTAGACCTATAAATAACTACATGTATGTTCTTACACCGTATCTTTTTATCCTACAAAGGGTGGGTTTCTCTGCTTTGCTTTTTGAGAAGAAATAGAAGACTGAATACTGTAATATTAATCTATTGT